TAATAATTGCCAGGAAACAGGTCTTCTTGCCTCACAGAAAGAGGCAGATGAGTGCAGCAAACCACAGCTGGAATCAAAGTGACACACAGGGGGACAAAGGTGCAATTCAGCACTACTGGCAATCAAGAGCAAGAATGTTCCTTCTGTAGTTTGAAGTAGGCATCTGAAGTAGTATTTTGCAATACAGTATTTCTGGTTTTTGAGCAGAAGCAGATGCTTCCCTCTCCCCCACCAAAGCCATGGAGTACAGGTGGAAAGGAAAGCCCCATAAGATTGTTAGCTGATGTTGTGTTGTGCAGGAACTCAGACCTCAAGCACAAGCCAGATGGTAAGGTCTTAGTCCTTCAGCTGAGACACTTCATAGAGGTATGCACCAAGCATCTTCACCCCCTGGATGTAGTTGGACCTGGAGAGAAGATGCTTAGATTAGCACTGCCTTATTTTGGGCTGCATTCCTAGCAATTGTGCTTTTTGCTGCATCAGTCCCAAAATGAGATGAAGACTCAACTTCAGATCAGCTATCAAAACTACCCACCAGCTATCCTGCTATTGGGTGGCACTATATCTCAAGACCTGAAGGGAAGCAGCACAAGCCCAATTCTTCAGTCATTTTCAGAATGACTATCAAGATCCACAGTGCAGCCTCAGTTTGGTAAAGGGATAAGCATTTCTTACCTATTTAGTTTCTCATTTTGAGAGTGGGCACCATCATCTGCAGCTCCAACAGGAAGCAGCATGACATTCTTGCCTGTTGCTTCTTGAAAAGTAATAGTAACAGGAATGCTTCCTCCCTCCCTTGTCAGGTCTGGTTCAACTCCAAAAACTGAAATAAAGAGTAATACTCCAGTCACATGGAGATATATTTGTTTATATGCAGTCAAGTACCAAGCATGTCTTACCAGATGATAGCCTAACCTTGCTCTCAGATCCAATCAGCTGGACCAGAGACCTCAATGGTCGAATTCCCCCCAGTACAATACTGTCATCTGCAGTTCAGTGAGCAGTTCCACAAATCATATTTCATGTGAAAGCCTGCAGCTGCATTCTAACACAGAAGTTTTTCCCTAGTTTTCCATATAGTCTAGCTCCACACAGAGGAGCCTAGGACCATGAGAAAACTTTAAGAGGGAGCTGAGGACAACTAATCTTCAAGGGCTCTGGCAAAGAAGTCATCTTCATCCAAAAGCAAAACAATGCGAGAGGACTTAGTTTAACACAGTAGGAGCAAGCTTCATAGCAAATTATCACATTCCTTCCCTTGCAGTACATTGGGCTCCAGTTCAGGGTTGCATGTTATGTGCTTTGTTACATAATACCCATGGCCTCACTAAGTGAGGAAGAATGAAAGCATCCTACACGTGACTTCCACAGCATTGAGGTGCTGGAAGGGGAAGTCTCATCTTTCCCATGCCAAGTGAAAAACCTACTGACCTGTCTTCATAGCCCTCCTCCCAGCCATGTAGTGAGGATGGTTGAAGTCTGACACCCATGGTTTTCCACCATGGCTCAGGTATACTCTGAATTTGTTAGGGCTCTGCAGCTCTGCAAACTTTTTGCTCACATAGTCTTCAACCTAAAACACAGTTTGAGCAGTCAGGTCTTCTGTTGGCATTTGTATAAGCACTAGTAAAAACAGGACACCAGAAATATTTAGAGACTAACAGATCACTACAGGTATGCAGCAAGTTTTTGTATTTTACTAGGTAGTTTTGCTCAGATGTTGGAACCTCAAATTCACACAACTATATAGTATGCAGAAAAACAAATAGCCATTATATCAAGCTCTACTTAAGAATTATATAGACACAGTTTAATGAAGCAGCTGGGTTCCTTCAGCACCATAGCAGAGATGCAGTAACTCCAGCATGGCTTTCTCCTGGTTTTGTGGAACTTGCTGACCATGGCTTGCCTGCCTTGACAGATATCTTCAGGAAGATACTCAGTGTGCAGAAACTACACTGCTGCCTCAAGCAGGCAGGTGCTTTCACTGAGGCACTCACACTAGATCAAAGTCTGCAAAAGCTTTGCAACTGTGAAGACTGTTCTTCTATTTCAGCTATTTATATAATTAATACATTAAGCATGGCTGAGCCCTAGGCTCATTAAAGCATCCACCTGTCACTAAAAGGCCACTTCAGACATGCTTGCATTTCTTTCCTTGCTACTTTGTACACAACTGCTCAGTATACCGAGCACTATGAATTCAAGCACTTAAGCTCCATGGGCAGCTACAATATCTTAGAACTGACCTTTACTGTAGGAACTAATTAAAAATGCTCTGTGGCCTTTAACATTGACAGTTCCTTTTGTTTCAGGTACTGACCAACCCTTTAGTCTTCTCCAGGAAAGAACTGAACTATCTGCTCAAAGCTCACTGTTCCTCTCCTAGAGATTACAACCTTATCTCCCCTATCTTCCCTGAGCACCAAAGCCTTTATGTGCATGTCCAAGTCAGCAAGGTGGTCCAAACTAAGATTTCACTCTGGCTAAAACTGAACACACTAATTCAGAATCATATGAAGAATCTCTTGCCAGCTCTATAGCATCATTGGTACAATATGCCTTGTTATATACAAGCTATTTCACCATATCATTACAGGACAAGGAAAAAATGGAACCTTGTATGCTCTCAACTGATATGAAGCAGGCCATGTAAACACAAGATTGAGCATATAAAATTGTCACTTAGGGGTGCCTAGTACTGCCAGATTTCAGACTACCTAAGACAAAAGACAGACCTGTGTATATAAACATCTTACAGCACTTTATGACAGGAGGCCTATTTAGATAAGATTTTAATGTTAAAATTAGTAAGTAAAACCTAACTTGCAAGATTCCCTGCTGTTAAAAGCATTTGTTTGAAGAGCTCCCAGGATAAAGATTTGAGGAGTTCAGACATGAGTTTAATAAACTTGTCAATTCAAACATTCTTGCTTAGATCATTACTGTACAGTGTTTACCAGGTCCAAGAAGCCACTCAGAATGCAAGCTTAAAGTCACACTCTACTGTTTAATCTTATGAGAACGCACTTTATGACAGGAGGCCTATTTAGATAAGATTTTAATGTTAAAATTAGTAAGTAAAACCTAACTTGCAAGATTCCCTGCTGTTAA